ATACATATTAACTGGCGGTGGTTCACCACGCCCCTTGAGTGAACGTCTCTCCGCCATGTTGGATTCTTGAGTGAACGTCTCTCCGCCATGTTGGATTCTTGAGTGAACGTCTCTCCGCCATGTTGGATTCTCGAGTGAACGTGTCTCCTCCATCTTGCATTTTTTGAGGGGGTTAGGGTTAGTATTGTATTCTTACAATTTAACATTGATTTCTCGTTAAAAATGCAATCATAACGCGTTTATTTTACATCGTTAGACGTCACAAAGTGTGTTTACGGGGTCCAGGTCCCCATTCACTTTGAATAGGGTGACGTCATCAGTTGCCAGTCCGTATTTATATAGTATGTATCTCTACGAATTTGTATCTTCAAGATACTCTATTAAAGTTAAGGCATCATCTGTGTCTCTACACCTCAACAACCCGAGTTAAACTGTGATGAAAAGGAAGCTAATTTAGGCAAGACAAGTAGTTTTGAGTAGGAACATGCAATCATAACAAAGAACAAAACAGAAGGGAACATAACGTGAAACTACTCTGATTGATGTCTTTCAGTCTCACTGTCGGTACAAGATGAAAAAGTATGTTGGACAATGTCTCAGGATTCGGTGGTTATTCCCAGTGTCTCTAGGCAACAGTGAACAATATGTTATTATTTCCCCATCGACAGCAATAAAGTGAAAGTAGACTCCAGGGACTTAACCCCCGGCAAACCTTTTCCATTCATTTATTTGAATCTGCAGCAGCAGAAACTAGAAACCATCTAATAAAGTTAACTTGTGAATATACTGTAACTTCATTACAGCATACAAAATACTCAAAGAAAATGTATTTAGTTGCATCCAACACAGAAGTAAGGACATCTGATGCGCTTTGCTGATACTTTATTTCTTAAGGGGTGTCAGTGGTCGCTCTGCAGCGACGTTCCTGCCTCAGTTCATCAGAGATCAATATTTCCTTTCATTCAGTTGAGGTGGGAATTTGCGGCGCTTGTTACAGCTAGGTGTTTTTCACCTTCGCGAACGTGAGAGTCTTTTAATGGCAGGCTTCAGTCAGAGCGTCGGCTCACCAGGGTCAATCATGGAGGAAGTCTTTTTAAAGCAGGCTGGTTGGTCTGCTGCCATTCCATGTTGTTTCACGGCGAGGAGTGGGAGGGCCGTCCACAGCGGTTCCGTCAGAGACGGGGATTTCTTGCTTCATTCAGTTTTAAACAAATTCACTTTGTGCTCTTACAAAAGGGAAATCCGAAGATCTACACCATCGGCTTATCCGCCGCACAACGGAGCCGACTCATAACAAAGGGATGAAAGTCAGATCTCTGCATGAATCCGAGCACCAAATGCAGGAGAACTACTGAGGTGGAACCGGAGAAAAGAATATTACGCCTCACTAAAAGGTGTTCATTTGCATTTGAAAGTGTCCTCGAGTGCAGCGGCGCAATATACTGTAGGGAGGAAAAGACGTTCTGTCTCTGCTGCATCGAGGAGACGCGAAGCTCTGCAGACAATCAGAGTATAATTACACATCTTATTTAAGCTTTGCTTTATTATCTGCTGTTCTCCCAACAATGTGGAGTTCATGTTTCAGGCTTGTGGCAATCATCTGCACACATTATGACTTTAACCTCAGGGCCTTTTTTGTGACAAAGGGTATACATTATATATGAAGCGCTGTCAGACTAAAAACCAACAATTAAAACTTTGAGTCGGAGTTTGCTTTTTTCTACAAAACATTCATCTGAATCTTTGTAAAACCCACTTGCAACGTGCAACACAAACAAATGAACGCTTTAATAATACTTCAAAGCATCATTGGCATGAGGAACTTTTCGCACACATTCATTCACTTATTTCATTATTCTATTATCATCATTATGTATTTTGTCTACGTCTCCATGTTGTTTGTTCAAGAGGGTGCATAAGCACTTAAATGATGCATTTGTGGGATCAAGTTAATTTCCGCATTGTAAGGGTATTAATTGATTTCATTTAAAACATTTTGTTTTACTAGTCAGACATATTATAATTGTTATGCAGATCATGTTAGAAAATAATTACCTCATTACACATCTACTATAGCAGACAGAGAGCAACATTAGCATTCCTTCGGTGTCATGTTTCTGGCCACCAGACAAATACAACTCAAATATTCACTTCCCTCAGAGTTTTGTTCAGGCTGCGGCTACTCCTCTGAGAGATGAATCTATAGCTGCTAAATGCTCCACCATGATCAATAGCTAGTTATGTGGTCCATTGATAATATAAACATGAATTAGTGAGGCGTCATTTTCTGTGGTCCACATTGGTTTATTTTAACCATAAATGTACTGTAAGGTTCTCTAACCAAACCACAAAGATAAAAACATTTTTATAGTATACATTTTACAGTTGTAACAAAAGTAAATCTTGAATGCTTCACCTCCTCCTGTGCAGCTGAAAAAACTACCAGACCTCCGTGACTGGATCAGTTGACTGGATCAGTTGTGCTCAGAGCAGCCAAACAGACAAGTTTGTTGTTCAAGAAAAAGCTCTCCGATTCAAGGTCGAAATGCGAAATGGCCTCAAACTGTAACAAATAGTTGGCGGCTCGCTCTGCCGAGCACGCCGCCACCCCAATGACAACACGGCACATTCAGGGACAATGAGATGTCATTTACGGAATTGCACCCTTAGACGGCACCCAACAAATGACGCTGCAGTACTCAGCCCTGCACTCTGTCCGTGTGTAAAAAGACACACAATCACGCACACACACACACACACACACACACACACACACACACACACACACACACACACACACACTAGGAAACAGCAACATCGCTTGGCCACCGTTTCAACCCGGCCTCCAAGTCTCCGGCTAACCGGCGGCTATAAATCTGTCGCCATTGAGGTGAACATTAGCACCCGCTGCTGTAATACGAGCACTTAAGTGTACAATTTGAGGTCCAATTGAGCAGATACATGAACCTCACCATTACGAGGCTATCGCTGTCAACATTTGAGTGACTCTCCTTCCACATGTCTAGATGCCTTTGAATTCCCCTGCTAAGTGTCCTGAAACTGACAATCAAGGCCTCTGTGGGGATTTACTTACATGTTGGAGATGGAAAAATGGATGGAAAAGCACGAAACCCTAAAAGATGAGTGGAGTTCTTTAGTTGGGGTGTATTTTCTTTCCTCCGGTGGATGAGCGGCCAGATGACACAGCCTTCAGATATTTGACCAGCGAGCATTCTGCAACATAAAAGTGTATCTGAGTGATATATTCTTTCGGTTATTAATAACAATGCATAACTGTATAAGCAACATTTTGCTGCTCGAGTTCAGTATTCTATATTATAGGCCGATACATATCAACAATGCCCCATATTGTGTCGAATGAACTATCGGATTAATAGTACAATTTTCTTTCAAAAACAGTGGAGAAGTAAAAAATAGTAACTTAAACAGTCGAGTAAAGTAACTCGAAATTGCAGTTAGTGAATTAGTGCAAAGGGTCTTACATTCAAAATATATTGTTCCAATCCCAGTGCTGTCGAACAGTAAAAAAGTTGTGGATTGACCAGATACAAGAATACTATGATTCAAACAGCTGAAGCTGGTATTAGTAAAAAATAAAGCACATCTATTTAATTATGCTCTATATGTATATACTGTGATTTTATTTACCGTTTCATTTTTTATAATTCAAAATGTGTACATTTTCAAAACTGATGTTGTCTGGCATCCCAGTGTCTTCTAAGGCATACAGCTTATTAACTCGGCCAATACATAAAGCCCAGGTATCGGTATCCTGACTGAAAAAGGTGGGATGGCTGCCTCGCTAACGGGACGTCCTCCTGATGGATGAGCAAAGAATTCTCCTCAATGTCCAGCCAGGGGACATTAGCACAGAGACGTTCTTCACCTTTGGTTACATGACTAAACGTGTGTGGACGCACAGAGAGTGAGAGATATTTGCATGCTCATTTTTTCACACACTCATACGCTTTTATCAATCTCAAATCACCTTTACACAATATTACAATCAGCGAATTAGGCAAAAACCCCACAAATAATGTGACTTGTTTATTTATGGAATAAAGGTGTACTCATGGTTTATACATCCAGCCCCCCCCCAACGGTATTCTTCATTTCATTTCAGAAAAGAAAATACAAACGGTTTGTCTGTAATACTTCTAGTCTGAGACGTCTGTGCTATGGTGACACGACGCTAATGAATCCAATACCTGTGTGGCTCTGAGAAATTCTGAGCAAAAGGTCATGTGCGGCTTGCCAAAATAAACTTAATTACACGAGTAAATCCGAGAGCCCCAACGAGGTTTAGCCAATCTATACGTCAATGAGGCAGGCAGATAAGAGGCGTAAATAAGGCGCAAACGCAGCGTGTAACTTTGTCTGCTCGCGCTATACGACACCGCGCCTCTTCCAGTAATCACCGCACGGCTCCCGCGCCCCGCGTTTGAAATGCGATCGTTGTCTGTCACGACAACGGGCCGTGCCAGATGGCGAGATGTGCGTCCCCCCCTTTCACCACCCTCGGCCCCGTCACTTCATTAGGGAGCGGGAATGCAGAGGAAGGGGTACTTTGTTTGGGGTGGAGTAGTTGCTGTGGCCGGCTCGCTGTCTGTCGGGGGCCTGTCGGGGGCGGCAGAGGGTCCTCACCTTCTGCTTGTGTCCCCGCCGCCAGAGCTTCGTGTTGCAGGCAGAGATGGAAGGAGGTGCTGGGGAAGAGACAGGGGAACTCGGAGACGGTTATCTAGGACACATTTGCAGCTGTACATTGTTTTGAGAGGCAAAGACAAAGATAAAAGCCCGTCTCTCGGTCGTGATAAAAGCCCATATGCAGTCAGACAGGGGAAGCTATTGGGAAGTGAGTGGAGCAGCACCCTCTTCCTAATAGTTAAACATAGTCCTTGTATGTAGTGCACTTCTTTGAATGTCATAGGATAAAACAAGTGATTTAATAAATGACATGTTTACTCTTTTCATTTTCCCAGGATGAGTGAGCGATACGCGCGGATCGGAAGTAAAGGGGCTCTACTTGTAATGGTGCTCGTGATCAGTGTCTGGGAGATGACTGTGCCAACGGAAGGAGCTAAAGGTGAGCCCGCTCAAACAGCTGGATTCACCTCCCAATTTCCAAAGAAAAAATGTTGAGGCCCGCACACCTTCTATTTGTGCCAACTCCATCGGAATTCAAACATCACCAAGACACACTGCGAACACAATGTAGCAGGTTTTTTCTGTGTTCTGTGTTCATCAAATCCATCGATGTAGATATGCAGAATGCTGCAAGCATAAATTCACCATCATCCTGAGATAATAGTAGTTTGGAACGTTGCAGCATGAAGATCCAGTGCAAAGAGCTTTGCGATCCGTCCCACTGACTATTATACTTGCTGTCCGAGGACGTCACAGCATCCGTTTGAAAGGTCAGCCAAACTAAAGATTTAAAACGGATTTATGCTGGAAATCCATCCATCGTTGTTTAGTTTAGTGAGGCGTACTGACAAATTGCCTTGCCTTCATCATCGCTTTCATCACAGCGCTTAGTTGCTTGGTTACGGCAGGTACAACAGGGTTAAGACCTCCAAAGCACCATATTCCAATAAGACGATAAAAGCTCCATTGGCTGGCACTCTTTGGAGTCTAAACAGCTTTTTGCTAGTGTGTGGGGAGTGAAGACAGGGATATTTGGTATTTTTATTACTGCCAACAAACTCCATGAAAAGACCAACAAATGTTTTCTGCATTGCCAGTTTGAGATGTATTATTCATCTGTGCCATAGAGCTCCACTGTTAATCACAAACTATTAAAAAGACATCACCTGCATGACGTGTTCCTTAATGACTATGAACACAACATGGGTTCTGTTTAAATTACACCACACAAACCATCCTGCTGCCTGAAATCACCTTTATTACTCCTCAACTGAAAATAGTCCCAACAAATGATTATTGATATTTACTCCTGGTTGAGACACATTTGTTAAACGATTAGCTGTTTGAGTAAATTACTGAATAAATGAACACATACATTTGTTACCTGCTTCTAAAGGTTGACATTGTTTTGAAAATATTCTGGTTTTGGTCCTTTCATCATGCCAGTCTTTTTGGTGAAATTACTCTTAGGGGGAAAAGAATTACATTGTGAGATGTGCTGACTTTATGTCCTTTATGTGAGTGAATGCTGAAAATCGTTCGTCCTGCATTACCCATAACACAACTCAATAGTTTCATATTGTCCCAAAGGGGAAGAATGTTTCCACAGTACGCAGATTATACGTCCCTCCCAGAACAGATACATTGTCATTACGTACTCCCCATTAGATCAAAAGATGAATACATAGTGATTAGCAGGCTATGGGATTCAGCGTCATGGCAGACGTGTATGCGGTGTTGAAGTAATGCTTCGTGTTATCGATTCTCCCTGCCCTTTAAATGCCTGTAAATCTTTTCAAATTGTACATGTACTTTTCAATGAAGGCTTACTTAACCGCTGAAATACAGTCTCCAAGCCCAGCGTAAGATGACATCACCAAGGGCTATTTTCTGAGCCTCATACACAGCCAGAGAAGACAAACAAGTGTTAGTCATACTCTTGAACTAGTTGTGTAAATTAAGAGTTCCCCTTTGAGATGTTTGTTCTAGATATGAGGAGCTTGAATGCTTTAAATAGTCGAGATCACACCAGGTGAACAAGGAAAACAAGGAGGCAGCAGGACTCAGAGTACAGCCAAGGAGGCTTGAAGAACTGGCTTGCGGCCGTGTTTTTCACCCCATTACATCATTCTACAAATGGTCCAGAAAGGGAAACCATCTCTCCAGCGTTTCAATAAAGATGAGAAAATCAGGGCAAAGTTCCCCTCCACGTCTAGACAACACATATTTTCTCTGTGAAGAAGTTTGTTGTGTCATCGTCCATCTATTCAACCAAATTGTACTGCCGTGGGCTTCTTTTAATTGCCCATGTTTAGAGGCCTCAACTCTCCATCCAAAACAAGAGGGCCCTTCTGCACCGACGGGGACGAAACGGCCACCGCTCGTCATGTCAGGTGTTTTCTCAAACATGCAACGTCCCAGATAAAGTGTCACAGTCGTAAATTTGTGACGTCACTTGGAACAGCTATTTGGGAGGTCTGATTCAAACCCCCCCCCCCCCCCCCTGCCTCATTAAAAGTGTTGTCGAGTCGTCAGTGGTAAACCCAGGGAGATCAATTATGGCAACTCAGCAAGACTACAAGTACAGGGCAACCCACATGTTTCATCACTGGGAGTCCCACTGACAACACACGGCCTCAGGTAATTGGTGGTGTACAGGCAGCACTGGCGCCGGACAGGATGTCTCTGTGTGAGCTTGATGTAAAAAAATAAAAAAGTCCACAAATACCCCTCTCTTTTTGTCGACCAATTAGACGGGAGCCCGGGCGCTTTGATGTGCGCGGCTTTGATTGGCAGCGATCCCCCCACTCAAGGCTCTCATCATTTCAGCAGGAAGTGGATCAGAATAATCCCGCACGCATTCAATTTCTCTCCGATGGCCGCTGCCGCAGCGCCTTGATTTCCCCTGGGTGTTATTTCTGATGTTGTAAACCTGTTATCATTCGGGGGATGAAATGAACCCAGAACATGTCCAAAGTAGAGGAAATGTATTTCTTCACAGAGAATACAAGAAAAGTACAACTAAGCCTTCCCTCTGACAAGCAGGGCCAATTTAGTGTTTCACTTCCTTGAATAAAATGGGCAAAGACGGCATCATGTTCAAACATGCTTTTCTACTTCATGACAGTTATGTTCGTTCAGTTTATTTCACTTTCTGATGTGTGAAAAAAGCAGGGTTGATTTATCCTCCGCGCGTCCTCCATCGACCTTAAGGCAGGTGGAGCAGAGAGAGGGTCGGGTCCAACCGGAGTCAATCCCAGCCAGCCCGCCTCGGCTCACGAAGTTGTGGTGACATCTGATTTGTTTTCATTAGCAAGTATTGCAATGGATCCGATACGTCACCCGCTATGCTGAGCTTGAACGTGCCACCATCCTCATTCCACTCATTAACAGCATTAAGCTAAGGAAACCTCTGACTTCCTGGGATGGTTCTACAGATTCTGCTAGCATTTTATCATTTCTGTAAGATCTATTGTGGCAGCAACAGGAAAAACAGGTTCGGATATAATAAAAGAAAGAACACCTTGAAAGAAACAACCAAAATGTATAGTTGCTGTTTTCCTTCCAAATGACGCAAAACAGGTGGTTCCCAACGTACCAGTGATCTTTCATTCATTTTCTTGCCAGCACTAGTTTACCATCCAGCTCATTCCCCGTTTTTCTTCCCTAATTCATGTCCACTACGTAATGAGGCATAAAATCCTCAACAAATATGAAGGAAACACAAAGCACCGTGGCCCTTCCGTGAGCTGTTGCTCGAATGTACTTCGAAACGGGGGTCTTGACATCTGCACCTCGCTTTGATAACGCAGCACGTCTCTGCAGACGGCATTTTCAGATTTTATGGTTGCGGAGAGTCTAAATTTTGACCTTCAAATTGTGCTACCGTGAACCCTGCAGACACACTGAGGCCTTGGATTTCAGTGTCCACAATGGGAAACCACTTAGCAAGAATAAAATCAAGCAGGATACTACGGGAGACTTGAACCTGAGTGGAATGAAATTGATGGTTCACACTCCGTTCCTCTTGGACGCGCGCTGTGGTAAACTCAGGTGGTGCGGCGGTGGTTTCAGTTTGCAGTACGTCTCTCGAGCTGCTTCCCTTACTGGTTGTAAATCTTTCACGGACGTGTGACCTACGTGTCTGATGCAGCGCACAAGTCTTCTCGTGTTATATGCATCAAAGATTGTTGCTGGCTCCGCACCTTAGACCTTCTGCACTTTGTAATAAAAATGACTTATATAATGAAAAAGAAGCATCTTGCCAGGGATGAAAAACACCGCTTGCACCCTTGAGGGCGCCGTAACTAACAGCCAGAGACACTCCCCATGTTAAACATTACAATCCATCCACAAGCTTAGCCCTTTCCGCAGAGTTTGGCTCCCGCAATCGGATTTGTATCTGTGGCTCAAAGATGAGTCCTCGTCCGTCACTCATTCTAAAACAAAGAAACAAATTGTTTGAGTTGGAAATCTGTACTGCGCTGTTACCATGAAAGTTCTGCACCTCCCTATGTAGGTTCACACAGAGGGATTTACACGCATGAGGATTATTTGTCTGTATGAGGGCTGGTATTTGTGGTCACACACAGGGATGTGTGGAAAGCAAAGCAACGATTACATTATCATTCTCAACAGCTTCATGAATGATACAAAGCGTGCATCATTCGCAGTTTCTCCAGGGTCTCCGGAGACCGTCGTATAAAAGCTTCTCAAGCAGAGTTATTTCAGCTCTGCATGGAGAGAAATGGCCCATCGCTTCTCAACCTGGGTTTAAACGAATGGCTGGAAGCAACAAGAGCCTCGTAGAAACAATTCTGTTTGTTAGTCAGCGTCAGTAGTTGGAAGTAAATGTTACGATTCCAAGCTGCATATTAAACAATATGGTTGAACCATGGCCACACTATTCCTTGGCCAGGACCAGTAACTTTCTGAAGCCTGTGCTGATTGCCTGGCAGCCTAATGTGTCTTTTTTCAATTTAGATTTTGTTATGGATTCAACATTCAACATGTGGCCGGTTTTATTCATGGACAAGGCCGAGAACAAACGGCATCCAGAGACTACTATAATGCATATTTAGATTTTGTTACACTGCCCAAGTGAGCTTGGATAGAAAGCCTAAATAAAGATCATGGTGGGATTGAATAAAATACGATTAATATATTAATCGAAACAAATCAACAAGCAAAGTCCATCAACAATGTAGTGCTATGCTGCACCATTGGGGAGGTCTGGGTTATATGTAAAAAGAGGAAATGGTCACAACATACATTGACAAATGGTCAGTAATGCACCACCTTACACAAGCAAAGAAATTCCGATGAACTACTCATGGTACTTTAAGGTGACTAATGTCAATTCAAATGATTGTTAAAAAATAGTTTATGTTTGAGCTTACCTTGTTTTATTCCCCAGTTAAACATTTTCAAAAAGAATTTCACTATCAGAATCATAACATAAAAGACATTCAATATGAGAGTCTTCCAAAGGCGTCACCAAATCAAGGCCGGCCTCGGATGCTATGTTAGGTGTGTCTGAGCTCAGGAGGAAACGCCCAGGTGTGCTTCCTGGTTCTTTTTGTAGACTCCGCCCCGTTGCCTTGGTCTTAATGGTAGGTTCATATACAATGATATAACATTCTAATTCAGAGAACATCTTCTCAACCTTTATAGAAGAATCCAAGCCAACCGGCAGTGAAAAAATAGTTGGTGTCAATTTATAATTCTGACTTAAATCAAACAAATTCCTTCTTTTGGGAAATTCAATTCATTTCAATGCAGCCGCTGCAAAGTTAACCAGCACGGATCGTTTGGACTGAGTTACGCTTTGTTGAACTTTGTTATGTGAGTTCACATTTTTCTGTTAGTGACCAATCTAGCTAGCTTGCTAGCTTGTTACTGCTAGCCGTTAGCTCAGAGCTATTGTAGTGGTCCAGCGATAGCATGTTTTAGGTTGCCGGTGGTTGATTTTAAAACATTCAGTTTGTTTTTTTATACATATATACTTTTTACATCGTCCTTTAATACATGTAAATACATATCTAAATACATTTTGGAGAGGGAGACATGTCAATCCTTGCTATTGTTGTTCACCCTGTCAACACAGAGTCATCTTCCTCATTTTAATTTAGATTTGAGTAGAGCCGAAACAGGTAGACAATGTCAAAAAACCTTTGATGGTAATTACCTATTGATTATTTAAAGATAATTATTTATGGATGGTCTAAAATGAGCCATCAAAAGTATTAGACTATGTTGTGAGTGATAGGATACTAAAAGTAAATGTTGTATATTAAACTCTCTGTGCCAATATAGTGCACCAATTGTCATGCACTTACTATAAACATGTAATTGATGAGGGTTTGAGACCGGAGTACATACGGCCAGTTAGACGCTGGGAGATGTAACAGTTGGCTTTTACCACAGCAAATCATTCTTGTCAATCATATTCTTGTCAAAGTAGGACCTTATTGTTTTTTTACGGCTGTCAATAGATTTTTTAAAATTAACTAATTAATCACACATTCCGAAATTCATTAATCTCGATTAATGGCAACTAATGAATGTTGTTGTTGTTAGAATGTTGTTTTTAATGAATGTTTGTTTTTCTTCTAAACACTACATTTAAAAAATAATGAGTAATCACTTCAGAAAGCGTGTATTTTAGACACTGTTGTTTTATTTTTAATGTTATTTTAAACATAAAACTACACAGATTTAATCATCTTGGAGACCGAATTCCACCGGGTGGAACATGTTGAACTAGAGACTCTGCCTGCTGTCCTCGTGCACTTTGCTCTCAACTCTTCATAATTTAACGGCTGTGTCTGAAGTGCCAACAATCTCCCCACATTTAGCCAGAACGTTTTCAAACCGCGGTCCTTTGGGGACACAATCAGCGTGGTTACATGGATTCGAATAACTGGCTTAGTCGGACTGAAATCTAATTATCCGTTTTATGTAAACACCTTTGTCCGACTATGTGCGGTCCGACTACGATCCGACTAACACGCCCGGATAACTCGATCCGGTCGAGTTGAATGTAACGGTGAATCGGATAAGGAACTGGACTTTGCGTCTTTGCGCATGCTTGAGATCCCGACGGCGACTTCTCTTCGTTATCAAATCAGCCAATAGCGCCATTCGTATTTGCTGTACTCCTATTAACATCATGCACACATAGTAGAGGGATGTAGCTTCCCCTTGCTCTCCGTTCGCCATCTTTCTCGTAATGTTGATGTTGTTGTTGTTGGTTGTTGTTGTTAGTGGTGAAGCGGTAAAGCGGAAATGGCTGTATCACAACTAGTTGTAATGAAAACAGCGCCACCTATCGTATCGGATATGACAAGCTTTCGGCCACCGATTCGATTTATTCACTGCCATGTATATTGGGATAATAGCACTTCCCCCCGAAAGAGAGCATAGTCCGACTAAGCAAAGATTCGAATTATACCATCATGTAAACACACTGAGTGGCGGTCCTCGGCAAACTGTGTGCCCCCGCAGGGTAGATGTTGAGTTGGAAGTAGCCTAGCAGCTAGCTTAGCCTAGCAGATAGCTTAGCATAGCGGTACTTTAAGGAGTGCCACTCACTCCCCTTCTGTTTGACACGTGGCGTAATTCCTCTGCTCAGTCCTCCGTTGTATGTCACGCCTCTGTTTTATTATACTTCCAATGCAAAAAGCCCTGCAGCTGGTGGTCAACTTACTAAAAACCGGAAGTAACGGAACAAACGTACGTTAAATATTTTTTGTTACATTTCGGCCACATTAATCGCATAGATTAATGCGTTTATGTTGACAGCCCTAGTTTTTTCACTTATGTATTCAAAGCGTAAAACTTCACCCCATGTGCTGTGTTGTGGATTTGTACATGCTGAGGTTGCTATAAATATACATTTATTTTGGGGATATTTCTGTATTTTATTGTATACAATATCCAGAAATATCCCCAAAATATCAAGGAAATATCCTTATTCATACTTTGTATGTATAACCTGCAGTAACTGATGGAGAAGCACACAGGAGAACATCGACACGGAAGGTTTCGCATCCCAAAGTCACACAAAACACAAACAAACAAACAAATCAATGCAAATTTATTTCATGCATCCTTTGGAGGTGCAGGTAGTTCACATGCAGAGAGAGAGAGAGAGAGAGAGAGAGAGAGAGAGAGAGAGGAACAATATGCAACAGAATCAAGCGGAGGATATTGTGGCTCCATCCTCCTATGTTTCCTAACTGCCAGGCCACCGGGACGTCCTTGAATTCTATTATTTAAATTTCATAGCATCACGCCTGTCGTATAAAACTCAGAGAGACACAAATCTACAAAACACAAGTTCAGCAGCAGCGGGTCCAGAGCCGGAGGGATCCTCTCTGTCACAGCGGAAGGCGCAGTAGGTTTAAAGCTGATTCCCCAGCGAAATGCTTCTCTCTGTATCTGCTGGCAGGGGAAGGGATCCAAGCAGAAACTCCAAATCCAGTCAGAGAAACCACAGCCACTCAGTGTGAAGAATGCACTTTATGTGGGGGGTACTGGCACCACTTCTCTTTTCATCTAAAGCTGCTCGGCTTGCTGCGTGTTTGTTTTTCATATCTCCTCTTGTTCGGGCCAGAGCACGAGGAACCACCTCGAAGCTTATGAGGCGACTGCTGCAACCTGCTTTATTGCTGATGTGTGAGGATGGACGACAGGGAGGTTGTCCAACAGGGACGATCGTTTGGGTGCATAATCAAAACAGAACATTCCTGCCCCTCTGTCTTTTTGCTTTTAAAATTGAACTTCTTTTTAACCGTAGGTTGGCCTGAATTCATTCAAGCCCCACCTGTTACACTGGCTAACCTAAACGGTGTAGGAGGGGCAGACTATTCGGCGCGAGGAACATTAGACTCCTCCTTCATGTTAATGCAAATGCAGTGTTCTCTGAGTTCCGTATTGAAAAAAAGTAACCTCAGAGGAGTAGCGATGGGCTATCGTTGCAGAACGTCCCTGTCAGATTTAAGATGGTTCAGTCCGAGCAGAGCGGCTGACTCCATCACCGTTCGTCCCAGTGGCTGCCTGTTACAGCAGCTGGAATGTGCCGCTGTCCGCCCATAAAACACGCCGGAGTGAGAACGTAATTAACTGAGTTTAGTTGAGCCGCCACAGTACAGTTAGTTCACACCAGTTTCACGCAGTCATCTCAGATTCACAGCTCACTGCAGCAACAGTGGGCATCTCAGCAGAAGGACACCTCGAGAAAATGTCACATGCAATTAAAAGAGAATGGAGCAGCTCAGGCTCTAAATAATTCAGACAATGGAGCGTGATGTGGAAATTGGCTCCAAATACTGCAGCACTGCACTTTCCCCTTTAGATGTCTGAATTTTTTTTTATTTAAACGCTTCTGTCTGTTGTGGGAAATCTGGAAGGGTATCAGTTCCAATCATTACCGTCTCATACTTATTTAAAGGGAGCCGTTTAAAGATAAAAAAAACGTGGATAGGGATGAAAATAATGATTTTATTGAGGTTTTCAAGGCCAGATTGTGATTAGTTAGCTCTACCACTCTGCTGCTAGTGCTAAATGTTCCTAAAGAGACACCATCATTTGGCAGTCATTCCCTTCGTTGCCTTTGCTGGCCTGTCGGTACAGCTTAGTGGGACCACATCCATCGGCATTCAGTGAGTGGGCGATATGGAAATAGCCTGAAATCACACACAAGGACACTTTTAGTTACTTTGTTGAGAGTACTTTTAGAGAGTGAATTAAGAAACCTGTCTGTCGGTAGCTCTTTATTTAATTCATTTTTTAAATCTATTATTACAATTCATTTCTAATAATGTCCACCTCTCCTGCTAAAGTACTTACACTAACATAACACTGTCATGGTGTGCTTTTTACCTCTCACACGGACAGCCTCTGCTCACATCTTCAAAAACATCTCTCTAAATTTGGTCAAATAGGCATCGTTTGGATAAAATAATGACCTACGTGAAATAAAAATGGTTACTCCTAAAAATTACACAAACCTAATAACAGCTTTTTGGTTAGAGTTTAACAACTGTGATTGGACAATAATGGCCAAGCTGAGCAAAGTCAATTTGACTGAAAAAACTGTAACAAAATGAGACTTTGAAAAGCAGACTGGACATAAAAGGATAAAAAGGATCTTCCATAAAAGGAAATTGGTAGTCTGTTCTCCCCTTTTCATTATTGAGACGGATTAGACGAATGCAGAGCAGACAATAGAGATCCAACAGAGATATTCTTGTGGGACTCAATCCAAGGCCGGCAGTGTGTTTTTGTGTGTGTGTGTGTACATCAGGGAAATAACTATTTCACCCCCAAAAAAAACTAAATCCTCACTAATTAGTCCATCCTTCTGTTGTTTCTTCAGCAGCTCACCACGTCCCAACAGGCACCTGCGAGGTGGTGGCGTTGCATCGCTGCTGCAACAAGAACAAAATCGAGGAGCGGTCACAGACCGTGAAGTGCTCCTGCTTCCCGGGCCAAGTGGCCGGCACCACCAGAGCCGCCCCGTCCTGTGTAGATGGTACGCTCTGGCTGAATATTTCATGGGACTCTTTTTTTTTTCTTCCCGCTGACGCTCCTTTCCACAAATCTTGAGGATTAGTTTTGCTGAGATCATCGATAAAGTGTTTCAGCAGACGATGACTCACTAGGTGAACTTGCGAACTAGAAGATGCTGTAAGGGAGCAACATGTAGTGTAGTCTGAGATTCATTTATGCGTCCAACCGTTTTTGTTTTAGCAGATTATTGACTATTTGGGAAAATTTAGTATTACATAATTACATGTTATGTACAAATACAAATATCTTATGATGTAATTTGAGAGACGGACTGGTGATAACAGTATACAGTATATTTACTAATTAAATAAATTCATTTAAATATGTAAATCTTACATTAAAGTCATCTCATAATATAGATTTTTGAGCAATCTATTAATGATTCACTCAATTGATGAGGCCGCAGTGAATGTGTGACAGGAAAAATAACTCACGCGCAGTATGATGTCTTCAAACTCAGCTTCACCAAGCGCTTTGAGCACGGATGAATCTTTACGGCATCATGTAAAATGTTTTTCGCGAGAAAATCGAAGAACACGATATGAAAAAGATAATAAAGAGGGAATTAGCCCAGAGTTTCTTCCAGTGTCTTCTAGAGACACGACTCATCGGAAGTGGCTGCGTCCCTTTGGTCTGACGGGCGCGTGTTCCAGGCTGAGCTCTGGACCCAATCGTGTGTGACCTATTCCTTGACATTTTAGTATTGACATTTTCGGCAAATTAGAGATGTGAGCTAACTGGCCTCAGCTTAAAGCTCCGCAGGTGAAGTCAGAGGGAAAAATATCCCAGTACTTAACCTTTTAATTATTCGTTCTTCTACAAGCAGGGATTACCTTTAGCTCAGTTCTGTGTGAGACTATCTTCTCTTCATAGAACGACAAATTAACCTCCGGACATCTGAGAAAAACCTGAATAGATTTGAATGTGTAATTCAGAAAGGCGGTCACGGAGAAAATACCTGCAAACATAACTGAGTGAAGCTGGGAGAAACAGCTAGATATTTAATCTGTTGTACCGTTTGTGTAATCATTTCTGAACGAGGGTAGATTAGTTCTCACTCAATATCAAATAGTGCACACAGAACACCTAACACACTTAAATGTTGAAGATGTTTCAACTCAACATCACCAGTATGTAGTACAACCGGCCTGATAATGGAACGTTAGGTTAATCTTCAATCTATATGTCAAATCTTACAAACTCTGCAAGGTCATGCAAAGAGAGTCGAACAGCTACCGTGTTTGGATTGAAATTTGGCACTTCATAGCAAAATTGCTACTCACCTAATAGCTAATATCGTGCTCCTGACAGGACTACTAAATGCTTGGGCGACCCTGGAGACCCTCGGCCGTATCTCTCACATTGTTATATTCTATCCAGAGGATGGTACATCACTGCAATCAGGGCATTTGAACCTTGATTAAAAACAAGCATAAGTGGTTAAACACACTTATGAGGTGTTAGTGTGTCTGGCCACGCAAAATAGAAACTTTGCTACTTGGAAAAATATTATAAAAAAACCTTACCGGTTGTTGAATATGAGCTGAAAGAGATCAGAGCAAATATTTCTGGAAATCTACAATCAAGGCAATAAAATGAAATAAAAGCACAAATCGACGTTTTTTTTCTCTTTTTTCAAAAGCTGCCCTCGTGGTTCCAAAGCGTCATTAAGCGATAAGTGAAACGTATCCGATGCACTATACCAATGTCTGGTTCTTAATAATTCCATTTAATTTCACGAGAAGTCTTTGTGGCTTTTTAATAGGTGCTATTACACAACCACCATCTGCTTGCAATTGACATGATGGACGCTCTACACCGCACTGCTGCTGTAGCCGCGACTGTGTGGTACAAAATGTTTCCCTCGTGTCAAAAAGTGCCCGTCCTCTGCAACTTTCTCTGGTGAGGCAGCCGTGCCATGTGTGGATTACAACGGCAGTCCTCTTCATTAGGAGAGAACGCCAATGAGGGTGTGTGAAAGTAGATAACAACCTGTGTCATATGCCAAATTTAACTGATTGCTCGTACAATGGAACAGCAGAAGCTTAATGTGGTCCTAATGGAGGCAACTTACTGGAGCTAAAAGGTTTTCCCCTCAGATGGCTGGAGCTCTTTTTCCAGTTCCTGAATTGAAAGCGTAGGAATGCAAAACACTCAACAGAGTGCACTTGAATAGCAAATTAGATTAGGTTGCCAGTCATAAAAGCACATCTTGCATCATTTATCTGATACAGCTGTCAAAATGTGACACAACTTTTTGCAACACTGCTATGATGGTGTTTGAAGAAAACTAACGATATTATGGATGCGAGCTTGTAATACTAACATTATGTCCTAAAATTAGAACGCTAAAAAACATATCACATTGAATTTGGCATTTGGCAAAAAAAAATCGTGATTCACATTCACATCTGACCATGTCCTCTTTGACCTCTGCATCTTGCCCCCCAGCCTCAATAGTGGAGCAGAAGTGGTGGTGTCAGATGCATCCGTGTCTTGACGGAGAGGAATGCAAAGTTCTCCCTGATCTAAAGGGCTGGAGCTGTGCTACAGGAAACAAGATCAAAACTACTAAGGTGAGTTTGAGATTCAAACCATATTCAGACCTGTTGAGTCCGACCTCGCACACCTCCAACTCTTGCACACCTCCAACTCCTCAAAGTCATCGGATCGGCCGCCTCTCGTAGCCCTCGATTTGCACTCTGTGCTCGGGCCCCTGGGGGCCTTTAATCAATGTGCTGCCATGTCTCCTTAGCACTTTCAGGCCACTTTGAGTACCCAAACTGGCCAATTAGTCACTCCTATTACCTGCTTTTAACGTGGTAACACGACGCCCGTATCCTTCACTGTGTTATGACGACCCGTAGCCTTCACTTCTACCTCCCTCCATGTACTCAATTATTTAAACTGCCTGCACCATACCTGCCTGGAGCCGGAGCCTGGAGCCTACGGCTATTGATTGACAGACTTGTCGGGACCTCAGAATGGGAGATGATGAAAATGAAAATGATTAAAATGATGTATATATAAATATATATGTACATCATTTTTTCTTTTAGTAGTCCAAGCTGTCTGTATTCTGGGAATAGATTTTTGTTGTTTTTCTTGATAAAAACTTAAAGAACGAAAGTTAAACGTGTCGTTTCTGTTTTTGTCTTTCTTTACATGGAACTCTTAAAAGATTTCAGCGGACAAAGAGCAGCTTTGGTAACGCTTCACAGCGTAGTCCAGGTAATAAACCTCTTTTTATATGTTACGTTTTTTTTTCTATGATTTTAGTGGTCTAAGCTTCCAAATTAAAAATACAAAGACATTCTAAACTGGCTTCTTTGCTCTGTCTCATTTTTACTTCACTGCTTTAGAAGAATGCATGCACATCGTTTACCGTGGCGTCACCTTAGATTTCCCTTCAAACCGACAAGGAGAAGGAGAAGGGCTATTATTCAGCACATGGTCCTGCAATGAGAAGAAGAGAGTTAGAGGGAATGTACGATCCGCAGAGACAACAACGTATTCAAAGCATCAGCGTTGCCCAGCGGATTCATCGCGCACACCTTCAAACTCACCTGGAAGAACAAGTTCCTTCAGTTTCAAATATCTCTGTAGGCTGCTTTAAGCAGCAACGTATCAGGCTCTCTTCTCCACCTCTGCAGAGCTTTTTGGGAAAAAATGGACAAAGATAAAGCTGGAACCTCCAGATATACTAACCTCTAACGCTGTGCGTCATCAATGCATTTATGCACACTGGATGCACCTTGAGAATTCAAAGCTGAAACAAAGCAACCAGCTACTAGTCCAAGTTTAGATGCCAAGAATGAGCCTGAAGTTACAGTGTCTTTTGGCCAGAAATCCTGTAGGGAAAGATAGAAGAAGAGACAGCCACTCACACTACGGGTTTAAATACGTTCTAACAAAAAAAAAACTCTAAACTAAACTAAAACTAAACTCTTGACTTGAATAAGAAGTCATGACATCTAGCTTTTGAAATGCAAATTAATATTTGTTTATAATAAAAAAGTTTAAAAAAAATAATAATCGAAATGCTCAAGCAAACTTACATACTGCAGCTGACCTTACAAAGTGGTTACTATTAACGGGCCTAATTCCATAACGCTGATATGCTACCAGACGTAGTAGAGCTACGTTTGTATTTCTAATTCTGTGGGCATACTAAATACTACAGTCGTTATGTCGTTACAAACTACTGAGAGGAGTGGCAACCATACCTAATTTCCATGTAATGTCTAATCTACAGGGTCTAGCACACTCCATCTACCTTCACCAGATCTTTGTAGATTCATATTAATGGAGGAGCAAGTCAGTTTTCCAGTTCTACAGATCTGATGAAGTCACCGCGGGAGGGATTGTCAGGTTTTGGCCGGCGGAATTAAGTGCTGCCAATGTGCCATTATTCAGGCTGAGGTACAAATTAGCATCACTCGTGTTAACCTCAACAAGGTGCCTTTCTGAATTCTTTTCTTTTGTCATGTTTCGTAATTTTCTCTTTGCGCTAATTCCACTCATTGGATCTCTGCAATTCACAGATGGCGGGGCTAATTTAATGCTACCATTTACAGCTGCTCTGTCGCAACAATGTCAGGCTGAAATTCTACCGTGGTGTTTTGTTGGGCGATGCAATGACCCAAAACAAACAGATGCAATCTGCCCTTCAGAATCAGGAGTTAATAAAAAAAGTCTTGTTTTGCAAAGTTTTTATTGTGAATTTTCAGTGAAAACAGCCGTGATGCCTCTCCTATGACTGGATTTCTTGCCTTACCGTCACAGGTTTTTATCAACAGTTAGTCCACTGACACCCCTCCTCCAGAACAGTGACTTGATTTGTGGGGATAAGCAGTCCTGATGGTAAAACTTATTTTGGGCAGAAGGTGAAACTGCAGCGTCCCTAATGTCTGTTTTTCAGCTAATTTTCAGGCAGATTCACACAAAAGATTTTGCATAATGTTGCATTAAAACAAGCATGCTATAAAAATCCCAGCCTCTGTAGTTACTGCACAAAACATATTGCAGAGAAGGACTCTGCGCTTTGCCAATTACACGGCTGAATTACACATACACAAGTCTGCACCTGCTGTGTTAAATCTTTCAGCCAACCTCACTTCAGGCACAGAATGAGAAATAAATCTTCTTGCCTGTTAAATTACCGCTTGTCATCCGTCAATTATTCCAATGCGCTAAAAACTAAGTTTGTATTTTTTCAGAAAGTCAACCCCGCCCACCACCCTGTCCTGAAGTGAGACACAGTGAAGATCCATCTCGGAAGACATTTTCTCACTGACAAGAAGCGCTTCCGCTTTTTGTCTTTTCAGCGTGGAATTATTCTCAAATTAGTAGCCCATTAATCACGGTGACAGCTGAGAATGTAAATAACTCCGTGAAGACTTTATTACAACCTGTACTGAAGCCGGCGAAGTGCTGCAACAGCCTACATTTATAGAATCTCTTCACCATGGGTTTGATATGATTACACAGGTTTTCTTGTCCATTGCTTGCCTGATGTTTTTTTGGGATTGTTTAGCTTATTCTGCATAATTGAGGATGATTTATTCAACACTGTGCCGTCTGTTCTTCCTCACACAACCTGCTGGTGAATTATTCTCACTGGTTTGTCGGAGCTGTCGTATCTCCTGTCAAAAGTTCAGCACTGATAATGCCGCCTTACATATTCGGCGGCGCCTGCTCCTCGCCGGTCCGTCAAACCCACGTGGCGGCTGTCGTACGGATGGAATCGATAGCGGACGTCGTTATGAAGGTTGTTATGTTATGTTCTGCGAGAGTCTTTTCCGGAATGTACTTTTGGAGGAGCAGAGGAGCTGCCAGTCAGCCACTGGGCTTCGTGACAGGCAATTTACTCTCAAGGAGAATGGAGGTCTTCAGAGTGCCTGACAGCTTCAAACAGGGCGAAAGCCCGACTCGCCCTGAATGCTGCATCGCAGTCCAACCGATAGATCGATGCGCTGATACATGAAGCCAATGTACGTCTTTTATGAGGTTCTGGAGTGATATGGATCTGAAAGAATTCCACGACTTGACCTTTTCGACGTGACTCTCTTTCAGCCAGTGAGGAGCGCAGCACGCTGCCGTAGTGTAGAGAGAGAATATCATTTCTGTAGGACGGGAAGCCTTAATGCCTGTCGAGCTCGACCCGCGAGCCCCCTTCCTCTCAGGCCTTCCCAAACCGACAGGAGTTTCCATGGAGGAAATTCACGGCGGGGGGGGGGGGGTCTGACAAGTGTAGCCTCAATTTACACAGACAAAAACAAGAACACCACTGCGAAATGAAATTTGGCAGTCAACAGTCATTTCATCTCAGTCATCTTGTTTCCATGAGCCTTGGAAGCCTGAAATTGTAATAGAAAATAAAATTCGATCAATCGCCCGACCCGAGGTAAACCCTTTCCGATTTCAGCAACCCCGCGGCTCATACGCGTTATAAACTACTGCTGAGCCTCTGCAAAAAGAAACACGCGCAGCATGCAGTTGATCTCATCCAACTCTTAAACAGTTTATATCCTCAAAAGGCCACGAGCAGGACTTTCAGACCTTTAGCCTTACTTTCCCCTCCGAAGATAATACGTTTTCTCACCGTGGCAACCATTTAAAATAAGCCCACAGAGGCTGAATAATGCATCAGATTCAGTAGTTGCTTTGCCAACATCTTTGACATGTCAGTCGATGTGGGCGGATGTCTTTTGTCTTCTCGCTTAAACTTTCTGTTGATAGAGTTGTTGTTATCATTAGGCTACTGTAAATTTGCTGCTCAGCCTCGGTCTCCCTGCTTACGTCAGATGCTCCGCTCCATATTGTTGCACCACACAGACAGAGAGAGGCAGGCAATATACGTGAACATTGTATTCAAATATTCAGTGTTGCTTTTGGGGTTTACTTTCTTAGATTGAGTTTTGATGCCAGGGCTGCTTTGATGGCTTTGACTTCATTTTAACACCATTTCTTTCTTCCACAGGCAAACTAACACCTCGGGTCTTTGTCGGATCATCAAAAGAGAAATAATTCAAAGGAACTTTCTGTAAATAGAGACTTCCCGTTTTCTGGACTGCAATTAATCTCCGGAAAAACTCTGAATGCGTCTTCTTGAACTCTATGAACACGAAGCGGTGATCACTGAGCACTTCTTTTGGAAGGACTCCATTAGAGCAGCCCTACCGGACGCAGGGTTTATCCTCTAATGTGATGCTGCTTGTGGTGGAACACGACGGTGAACTTGCCTGTTCGTTCAATTCTGGAGTTATGTGTCAATCACACAGGACCTGCAACACGAGTCGGCGAGGTCTGTTTATTGTAAGTATCGCAAATACTCAATGCAAAATGTGATTTTTGTTTGATCAGTCAATTGTGGCTTCTTCTTCTAACAAGGTGTAGTTTCAAGGGTGCAGACAGAGTAAAATATGTGGCTGGGCGGAAGATATTCAGGGTGAACTTAAAAATACACAACCACATTAATCAACCTACCGTTCCTACGGTGTGCCACAGAAAGGATTCAACCTAAACAGGATACACTGATCCAAACCGGCCAGCTGATAACGGACTGAAAGCTGGAACCGGATGTGGTTTATTTTTCCTTGGAAAATCACTCTGCCACTTTCTGCCGCTTCTGCCAGATCATTTTTTTCTTCATCACAGCTTCGGAGTGTAAATTATACACAAAGCATCTGGTCACTGGCAGAGTGATGACAACAATGCTCTCCAAACCATTTTCGACTAGTCACTTTTTGATCACCTTTGCGTCGGTATCGCTGACACTTCCTTTGTCTGTGCAAGTGATGACATCATTAATAAACTATGGTTGTGTAACTAAAGCCTTGTGTCTTCTTAGCATACGCTAACAGCATTTAGCCACATTAGTTAGATTAGATCTACAGATGGTGGGCAGTCGGCCCCCCACTTTCTTCCAACTATTGGTTTTATTATCAGGACATTTTCCGGTGATGGTCCTTTAAAATGAATTTCAATGACTTTGGTGATGGCCAAGTATCATCTCTAGCGCCATTAAACGGTCTTAATTTATTATCATAGCGTTTGAGTTCCTCTGATGCTATCATTATGTGAAATCAGCCGCTCATTAATCATTTTTTGTGTGCTTTACAAACATTTAGTCAAGTTATTGAATAAACAGACAAAGTTGCTCGGAAATTCTGAAACGGCCAGCACAGTTCACTAATCCATCCGTTCTAGTTTTTTATGAAAACATTTCAAATGTTTTCTCATATACCCTACTTTCCACAACAAGAGCCTGATCTGTTAACATCCCATTGATCTATTCTGAGGCCAATGTTGTCCTTTAAAATTGTTTCATCAATTTTCCAAAATTGCAAGCCGATGCTTCATTACAGCAATGTCCACAATGCATTTTGGCTACGAGTCTGAAGTTAGATAGCAAACAACGGCACACAGAGCGTCAACATTTGCCCTCTGTCTCGGAATCAAAACACAAAGACAGGATTTGGTCTTTTGAGATTCAGACACTTCATGAGGATGCCATTATGTCTGAGATGGAAGTAAAGATTCTCTGTTTAACTCCAGAATCATCAGGTTTTGATGTTCTTTTTTCATTAGCAAAGTAATTAAGTGATAGTTGTCGGTATCCATGGCGCCCACACACTCTCATTTGGCATACTTATGTTGATGTTAAAGTCAAAGAAATATAGGCTAAAATTGAATGGAGTGTGGTCAGTTTTGTCTGAGGGATAACTTTTATTTAGTTTTGTTGGACATAAAACAAAGGCTAAGCTTTCGTTATGCATTGTTGCTACAGGATGCACAACCTCCACACCACAGGGGTCCATCTGCTGTGGACTGTGAGCTTCCCCTCTAAAACGTTCTTTCAGAACCAACTGACACTGGTCATTGTAAGATTAAGACAGAGTCTCCACAAATAAACCTTTCCAAATCGACTGGCGCAGATGATTGAGGATTAGGGATCCAGGCTCTCCAACACTCAGCGGTTAGGCCTCTCCTCAACCTTCCCCGACCAAACCTCGCCGGTGAAACCCTTCTTCTAGCTGCTCCAGAGAGGTCCTCACTCCCGCCTCAAGCAGCTCAACAAGAAAGAAAGCTCACTCTGTGTCCTCTTGGACGTAGCTTGCGTGTTGGAGAGCACAAACAACTTTGCGCCACCAAGAAAACCAACAGTTCACAAGACCGCCAAACGATCCCCGCAAGGACCGAGCAGGATCCCGAGTTAAACGTGACTCGAGGAAACAGAGCAAAGCGTATCAACGCACAGTAAGGCGATGTCTGGGCAGATTGATCAGCGTGTGTTGTTATTTTTGTTTGTTTGTTGCTCAGAGTCAATTGGTATTGACCTGATTAGTATTGTTGGAAGTTAAACCCTGTTATACTTTAAGGAGCAGTTTTCTGTGATTTCTCTGTGTATATGTTTACTGTGATGCTGGCTGGAAACATAGTAGCCAGTGTATAAACTGAAACCTTCAAGTCCTTACTCTTAATGGTTGAATGTTAATTATGAGACTTCATTTATGGTTTGGTCATTAGTCCCCTTTTTTAGGGTGGTTTCCCGTTATTTATTTATTTATTTATTTTGTGAATTATCTTAGTGATTATTAATAATTCTATTGATGTCAATGATGTAATTTCACACAAGCTATTAATCAAAACAATGCCCCTACACCGTGCCCAACAGTTTAAAACCCTATATTAGAAAACTTAAACAACAAAATCCTCCCATGTATGGCTCATTATATTATTTCACCTACAAATGTCCTGAAATTACTGGATGAGAGCTTCTTAAATTGTTTTTAGCTGAGGACCCCAGTGAGAAATTAGCTTCCACTTGCTTTGGGAAATAGGCTTATTAAAAAATTTCATATCCTCTCCATAAAGGGACCCACCAGCAACAAGCCTGCGCGTCAATTTGGATCTTAACCCGCAGCTTAAAAAGCGCTGCTACCGCTGAGGAGATTTTCCACGGCTTTTTGTTGCATCGCTGACGCATTTTATAAACGCTTCTCTTTCGGGAAATCACTAGAAAAAAAAGAAGTTTCCACAAAGGAGGCAATAGTGTTATCAGGAGGTCATTCGGCTGCAGACACTTGACTGACACAGATAGATGAGGCAATTTGGAAAAGATGCATTGCTCTTGTTTCTTCAGGTTTTTTAAACGGACCTTGTGTTCTCGCGTTCCTTCGGCGACGCGGCCTGTAGACACTGTCTGCGTCTGTCAAACACAGTCAAACCAAATGACTCTGTTTCCCAGCCCGCCCGAAGCACTGTTTCTCATGTTATCGTAGCGTTTCGACTTCAAACGTCAAGCTTTATTCTTCCTCACCGAAGGCGTCCTTTGGCAATAAACGACAAACGTTCCCCCACGAATGAAAAAGGCTGCGACACCGCTGGCCTTGGCGTGTCCAAACAGTTTGACATTTCTGGGGTCAATGCCAGGCTCCCGGTCGGTGTCTGAGTCAGAGGACTCGAAGGAGTGTCCGGGGGTGGGGGAGCTGCGACACACAGAGAACCTCTCTTTCAATGCTTTAATTTCTTTCAAGACATTCAAAGGAAGTAGAGACAAGCAATTCTCTCTCCCTTTTTTTTTTCCTTCTCTCCTTTTTGCTGCAGTCATTACAAGAGCACAGCAAAGAATTGCCTCCTCTCAACATATGTTCTATGGTTTCATAATCTAATGATGGTTTTGTAATTACACAGTGCACCGAAGGAGGGGAGCTCATTGATTCACTGGGAAAATGTATTCCACTTCGTTTAAATGTTTATATAACCAAAAGAGAGAGAATTACAGATGTGAATGTAAATCACTCTGACATGACAAGTAAGAAATCCCAAACTTTGGGAAAAGGACCAACAATATTTGTCATCTGACCATCTACTTTGTTAAACCCTTGCAACACAGTTGTCCGTATGACAAAATCACCTTTTTTTTCCAAGGATGCGCACTGCATCCAACAAATACTCTGATGCATCCAACGAAGACATGACATGAGGAATGAGACACAGGCTGTAATAGAATTGTTGATATGTAGGAATAATAAAATCAATAACCGTGGGAAGGGTTGATATACAGTAGCCCTCTCAGTGCTGTGTGTTTAAATCCTTTTAAGCCAAGCCTGGGAACTCTGCTTTGTCTCAGCCGAGAAACCTCCATCTTCTCCTGTCATGACCGGAACCCAAACAAACAGCAACTTATGGAGCTTAAGTGGTAGTTCTAGAAGGAAGACTCCCTTTATGCCACGCGTAATGTAGATATGCTTCAGCCGAGATTGGCTGCGCCAGGTGTATGCGACCAACCAATAACATAGTTGCTGTCAAACCTTTTTTACGGGGTTCTCTCTGTGTTGCTGTCAGGTGTCATTTCAGAGCGAAACCGGATGCGACCCTCCTCCACCCCCAGGCACCTCCAGCAGCAATCAGGCATTCTTCATTTGTCCCGGGTTTCCATATACTCCCTTCTTCACCACCACCACCGTCTGGACTCCAAAGGCGGGGATTCTGCCAAGCAGAACTCTGCATCACGGCCCCCTGATTATCCTGGTTTAGGATGAAGTCCAATCGCCAAAGATTCTGCACTATTTCAATATTATACTGTGTAATAAATGTTCTGAGTCTGCCCTGATTGAAATGGAAACTGATGTCTTTATTCCATCTATCCATAGATATGTCCATTTATTTTGATGTGAGACCTAACAAGGTAATTCTTCTTTCAAGGATGTTGTTAATTCTTAACATCTGCCATCAAGGATGGTGTGACAAACGATCCTTTTATCAGGTGAAACATGTCTATTCAGTTGGATTCGTTGGATCGGTGTGTGCACACGTGGTCTGGCTGCGCCTCCAAAGTGCAGTTTGTTTGTACAAACTAACCAACCACAGGTTTTTTTGATGGCTAAATTAATGACGAATCTATCTACTGATCTCAGCCAGTGAGTTTATTGATCTGTATTCAAAGCATTTAAGCACATTAACCTAACACTAACCCTAACATCTTTTGCCACTAATCGTAACCAGGCCTGTAACCGAGTCACCTGCAGGCTGCCAATCCTGAAATCAGCCTGACACGGTAGTAGTAAGTCCAACAGACTTAACAACCCGTTGGTCGCTACGGTCTTCATTTTGGACCACAGGGCCGAGCCAAAACCAAGTTCCAACCCGATAAATCCCTTTTTTTTTTAGACTATCTTGTGTGACTCATAGAGCTTCATGTCGCTTTTGAATGACGTTAGAGGGTTAGGCGGGGAATCTCAAAGCCAAATGTCACGGTTGGGCGTTATTTTACGCTCAACCTGTTTTGGATACTAAGTGCCTATTCTGACAATCCAGCAATTCGGCCAACCAGAGTGGGATTTAGGAACAAATCCAGATTTTTAGTCCAGCCGTTTCTCTGCCGTGAGGCCTGCACAAAAGCCTCCTTTAGAGTAGTTCAGCTTCACTCTATCAACGGTAAACTTTTCTACGTGAAAGCTATCACGTAGATGTCTTATTTGTCTAGTATCTTCATGTCTTATCATGCTAATACCCTGTTTTTTTCTGGTGATTCTATAAATTCAAAGGTTTTGCGTGTCATTCATTTATTTCTAAACTATTAACATAAAAACATATCAACTTTATCCTGACAGAAAACAATGTCCTTTATGTCATTTTGGGAACAAAACATCCCCCCCACTCACATCCTACTTACATCATGCAGAAATTATTTATTGGTGACCCAGAGAATACAATCTTCTTGCCTTAAACTTTGTATTTGAGTGGTGAAAATGAATATGATATGTCTGCTTTGATTAGGTACCCTTAATAAAAAGCTAATTATGACATTGTATCAGATATTTGGTCA